CAAGATGTTACATGAAATAAAGGGAAGTGTTGCATTAAAAAGTTGTAGGTGGATTGAGCTTTGTCTTCCAGTTTTTGACTTCCAAAAACTGGGTGCTACTCAACTGGATGCCATGATTTCCAGTAAGGGCTAGCAGAACAAGTGAGAACTCGGTATATAGATGCTGAAAAAATAAAGAACTGTGCAAAAATCCTACTGTATATATAAAAACTAATAAAAATTAATTATAAACATACAAGGTGTGTTTATGAAGCAGGGGGTTGGACTAGATGGTCTGTATGGCCCCTTCCAACTCTATGATTCTATGATAAATCCTATATTATTGTTGTAGATCCTATGTTATTGAATCATCTATCCAAAACTTAAGGCTTATATATTGCAGCCACAATTTTTCAGCAGATATCCGTAATACAAAATGCACAACATCTCAGAACAGCCCATAATAGACTAACTCCTCAGTATTTGGAAAGTCCTTACTCATCAGAAAGTCCAAAGGCTTCGCTTGGAGAAACGACGGCTGAGGGATGACATGATGGAGGTTCATAAGATTATACATGGGATAGAGCAGGTCGAGAAAGAAGTACTTTTGTTCCTTTCTCACAATACAAGAACTCGTGGGCACTCCATGAAATTGCTGAGCGGTTGGGTTAGAACAGATAAAAGGAAGTACTTCTTCACCCAAAGAGTGATTAACACATGGAATGCACTGCCACAGGAGGTGGTGGCGGCTACAAGCATGGACAGCTTCAAGAGGGAACTGGATAAACATATGGAGCAGAGGTCCATCAGTGGCTATTAGCCACAAGGTATAGATAGGAACTCACAGGCTGGGGGGGTTAGGGTTAGCTGCTCTTCTGCCATTGGGCTATGAGGATATGAAACTGCAGTTTGTGTGGGAAAGGCAATGAAGTCCAGGTGAGAATGGGGAGGGTGGTGGCAGCCGATGGCACTTTCCATTCATGAGTACAGCCAATCCTCAATAATTCAGGGTCTTTAAGAGAACGGCTAACACTTGCATATTTGCAGCTTGACAGTGAATATTTATTAATTTCTAAACAACCATTTTGGAAGGACTCTTCATCTTTCATGCTAACTCAGTACATTTCTTCTGTGAATTGTCCAAAGCAAAGATTGCTTGACTTGTCTGGGGCTTGGCAGACACCCTGGATGTGTCCTGTGTCCTATTTAAATATCTCCTATGCTGAAAACACAATTAGAGTTACTAACATATATATATTGGGGCGGATGACAATATTTGAACACTACCCCCCCCCCATCTATCTTATCTAATGTAAGTATATTTTCTCAATCCTGTCCCATTAGCAAATGTGTGTGCTGGTAAGCGGAACAGTATTTTGGAAATGAAACTGACAGTGGTGCAGGCAGGGTGGATTGATTTAAGTCAAGATGGCTTTAAATATCCAAGAAAAAAATAAAATTGTTTACAGTAAAAATTAGTTATAGTTCCCAAATAGAAGAGCAAATGGTGTGTTTGCTATAACCATAAAAATGCATTGATTTGAAACCAAATAGAGCTTTTATCCATGATATTTGTTTTAAATATACATAGGCGACTTAACGGCACCTTAAAGACTCACTTTTTGTTTGTTTTTAATAGCATAAGGATGGGATCGAATGCATGAAGATTGGTCCTCGTGTTACAGACACACATATAAATATGCAGGAAAATAGGTTAAATGCTCATGAACGGCATGATGTTCGATATTCAATAAATTTCTTATTTTAATACTTAGGATCTTAGGGTTTGTCTTACAACTTGTTGCTGTAACAAATTGTACAACCATAACCAGGTACTGGTTGGAATCAGCTCTAGAAAGGGCTACTGCTTTCCAGGATTCTGCATTTTAAAGATCTGCCTCTTCTCTAAGAAGCATACTAGGTGAAACTTTTTTAAAAAATCACATTTTAATTGAGGATGGGTTTTTTTCCCCATTCATAAGGTACTATCCATATAGAACTAAACCAGTTATATGACAACTGGGACTGAAGCCTTTGGTTGTTTGGTAGTTATTCCAAATAGTGAAAAAACAGTATAGGATTTCCAGTAATGACATTTGCTTACATAGGAATTCTAATTATTTCACCATAAACAATAAGGAAGTTATTTATTTAACGGGGTAAAAAAGCCTTCAACTTAAAAAAAAAAAATCTGTTTGAACTATATACCGTTGTTCCTAATCAGAAAGTTGTTGTTTTGTTTTTCATTATCCCTAACAGCTAGAAAATACTAATGAAAACTGGTTTATCAGCTCCTTTATTTGTCCCAAGCCCTTTGACGCAAGCAGTACATGTGTGAAAAATGTCCCCATTATTAATTGACCATTGTTCAGCTGACGATTTAAGCAATGCCAGAGATTTCAACTGAGTTGGCCTCTCAGACTTAGCTCACTTTGGTTTGACAATGTAGGGATGCAGGCAAGTCCCCCAGATTTCTGATTGCTTTATAGGCAAGGTTCTTGTCAATGCTAGGATTGGCAGATACACTGAGCCAACTTTCATCATATATAAGTCCAGATGTGTCACTAGGCAAGTAAAATCCCTCCCTCTTAAAAAATGACAAGAAGCAGCATTTCTTCACAACTGAAATCTTGTAAGGACACCTCGTGAGAACTCATTCACCAGTTCACCATCACAATGACAACTTTGAATGACACAGAGGTAGCAGCAGTAATGACAGAGGTGATGGGGGGAGAAAAAGTGGGAATGGGGATAGTGCTGTTAGGAGCAAATGACAAAGAGCCTGTGGGGACAGGATGGGCAGGCAGAAACATTTGATGGATGGGAGGGAGGGTATGGGGAAACAGGGAAGGAGGGTTGGGAAGTGAAACCAGAGAAATAGGGGAAAGTGGAGGCCAGTGGGACTCTGGGTTTTTCCTTCCCCGTGAGTCCGCATATGTCTTTTTTCTTGTATCTTCCATTTTTACTGCTTGACTGTGGGAGAGTACTAGACCACAGGCCCTGGCTAGTGGGCCACAAGTTGTGCGGGCCTAGTGTAATGATTGCCTTTTCTCCCAGGATCGTTTCAGCTGGCCAAGCCATTCATGAGAGCTAACTGGCATAATTTTAGCATAGAGTGAGATTTTTGTGTGTGAGGAGGAATTCAGGTATAATTTGAATGTTACTGATGAACAGACTAGCACAGTGTAGAATGGAGCTGAACCTGAGCTGAGCATGACTGAAGGGAAGCTCTTTTTATAGGGGCTGGGAATAGTAGAGACAAAAGTTTGATTTTCTTCCCATGAATGCTGGGAGGCAGAAATGTCTGCAGTAAGCCTCTGGATTAATTGAGAAGGAAGGAAGAGGGCAGGCTTGTTGAGGCAGAGAGGAGGTGGGCTCAGAAGAGGTTTTCAAAGCAGAAAGCAAAAAAAGAGCCAGAACAGGAAAGAGCTAGGACATCTTCGGAAATGGCTTACTTCAATTACAGGCAGAGATCTTCAGGGGTCTTTTCTATTAGCTAAACCGAGACCAGACATCAAGGTATTATATAGGGATGGGCATGAACCATAAAAATGCATTTCATGGCTGAACCATGAACTGAACCATGAACCAAATTGAGCCCGGAGGTTTGTTTGCGAACTTAACCAGTTTGTGCCCCTGCAAACCACATTGAAAGGGACTGCAGTCCCTTAAACAGGGCTTGCAGAAAGCCCAAAAAACAGCTGTGGTGGGGAGCACCTCTGTCACTTTAAAGAGACAGCACAAGAAACCTTGAAACAGCTGAGTGGTGGGGAGCAGGGTGCTCCCTGCTGCTCAGCTGTTTTTGCATCTTTGACAGAAAACAGAAGAAGAGGAGGAGGAGGAGATGGTTTTTATGCCCCGCCCTCCCCACAACAGACACCCTGTGAGGTAGGTGGGGCTGAGAGAGCTCTCTCGAAAACTGCCCTTGAGAGAACAGCTCTGAAAGAACTTGTGACTGAACCAAGGTCACACCAGCAGCTGCATGTGGAGGCGTGGGGGAATCAAACCCGGTTCTGCCAGATTAGAGTCCGCACTCTTAACCACTACCCCAAACTGGCTCAAACTTGGAGTCCCTTTAAACCCCTGCTTTCTGCTCTATCCACAAACTGCTTTAAAAGTTTGTAGAAATTCGTGATGGTAGACCCGTCACGAACTTTGGTTTGTGAACCACAAACAGGGCAAAATTTGTGACGAATTTTGCTTTGTGGGTTTGGTCCATGCCCATCCCTACTATTGTACTTTGAATGGAAACATTTTAGAATAATGATTACAGAGCTGACTATGCCTGATTTAGTTATCTCACTAGTCTTGTTCTTTTGTGCCAAGTCTGTATCATTCCACAGCTGAGCTAGCCAGTCATTGTATTACGTGATTAAACGTCATGCGAACATAGTCCTCTCCTGCCTATTCTCCTTGCTGCTGTAACTCTTGTCTTGCCCTGACTGAGACTCACCTGATTCTTTTGGCGAGAAACTCTTAGGTAAGGGTGGGGCAGATTTTTTCCAGTACAGCAGGATAGGTGGGATGGTCACAGACCAAAAAGGGCTAGAAACTGAGACCACAACATGGAGTCAGAATGGTCATGACAGCAGAACAGATGGTGTATGGCTCTGTGCTGGTGAGAGCTTTGAAGGTCAAGGCCAGTGTTTTGAATTGTGTTTATAACCTTTCTGGTAGCCCATGCAGATCTGTACGTTGTAAACTAACTGAGGCTAATGTTATATATTCATCTTTTATAATTGAGCTTAAGACCTTTGGTCATAGAAGCTAATAAACATAAGTAAGTAAACTAACTGATGTTTCGGAATCCTGTTAGCACCAGTTTAACTTGAGCATTACCCAATCATAGATAATTATGACAACATCTGGATTAAAATGGTAATTTAATGAAAGATTATTTTCTGTGTGAACGTACATATAGGCTGTAGGATGTATGTGTGCCAGCTAGATTATTGAGGAGTTCTAGTTTATTTGGAAATCCAGTTTGCTGACTTGTCCTTTCCCCCTCTTTTTCTGCACAGATTCATCCACACGTTACAGCGCAGTTTTATGAAATCTGCTCATCAGATTTCCGGGGAGTTGAATGCACAGAGGAAGATTTTCGCTGTCTCTTTGGATTGCTGCCATCACTGTGACGCCCTGATCACCAGGCACCATGTACTGCCTCCAGTGGTTACTGCCTGTTCTCCTTATCCCAAAGCCCCTCAACCCGGCCTTGTGGTTCAGTCACTCAATGTTCATGGGCTTCTACCTACTGAGTTTCCTGTTGGAGCGGAAACCTTGCACAATCTGTGCCTTGGTCTTCTTGGCTGCCTTGTTCCTCATCTGCTACAGCTGCTGGGGGAACTGCTTCTTGTATCACTGCTCTGGCTCCCAGCTGCCGGACTCTGCTCATGATCCCAGCATAGTTGGCACCTAAATCCTTCCACATGGTCGCAAGCTCCTCTTCCCTTTTGTGTTCTTTTAAAAGAGCTGTCCTTTGAGAGGGAGGGATCATAAGGCATGTGATTGGAGTTCAAAAGCAACCTATTTGTATGTCTCAATTAAAGTGTTTCATCCATGATCCGTTAACCCTCCCACAACCTGCCTGTAAAATTTGACAAAAGCTGTCTATGGTGATAACTCGTGTGTTAACATCCATGTTGGGGTTTGAAGCCATGCAGTACATGGGGGTGGGGGATGGGGCTGGCTTGTGCGCCTGCCTCCTGTACTGTCAGAAATCAGTCCTCCTGGCACTGGCCTGGTGGCGAATTGGATTTTTAAACGTTGCGCGATGCTGGAGTTGAATTTGTCTTGACTCCTTGTCCAGCTCTCAAGCTGCAGCCCAACCTTCTCAAACGCACGGCCTCTGACTTTGTCTGAAGAGCCAGGAAGCCTTCTTTCCATCTCGCTTTTGGTAGAGATCTAGTCTTCATTGCCTGGGACATCTGAGGGAGAACTTGCAAATGGCTAAGAAGCATGGAAGCCGCTGGATCCAGAGGCTGTGATTCACATCAGCTAGCCAAAATGGGATATGTGCACTGCCGGAGTGTTTCTCCCCACTACGTATCTGCCTAGATCACAGCTCTAAAACCCCAGAGTCATCACAATGCCACTTCTACAGCACGGGTACAGAAGCTCGTCTTGTTCTACCCTGCCTTTTCCCAGCCAAATATCCCTGGTTTGCCGAAGTCTTGAGTTGGCAAGAAGCATGCTCTGTTTTAATGTTTGGGGATCCATTTTTAGCATTCTTTTTGTCATTTTTAAGCTCTCTGTATTTCTGTCTTGAAGAAGCAGCGTGTTGGCAAGGGTGGGGGTGGGGATTCAATGTTCTGGGCTTGACATGGGAGGTGGTTTTTGCTTCTGAATTGGACCTGTCATTTGAGTGACACTTTTCCTCCCCTTTGAAGCGAAGAGTATTATTGTCGTTTGTCACAAGCACATGAGGCGCTGCTTACATGCATGGGAGGAAGGAAGTAACAAATGACTTCCTTCTTTTCTGCTCCTTTTTACCCCCCCCCGCCCCGCCCCCAGTTTGTGTTTTCCTTCACAATGATTCTGGGAAGCCTTTTGGAGCTTTCTGGATTATAGCTTTATTGTTCCCTGTTTGCCATTCATTCTCTTGCACATCAGCGGTTTCCAGAGAATCTCTCTTGTTCTGCTTTCCTTAGCAAATGTTTGCTTGTGCAAGAAACATGAACTAGTCCTTGTGGAGGGCTAGCACACTCCTCCCCCCAAAAAAAAACTTTTCAAGGTTACCTTCTGGTTTGCTGCCCATTAGTCTCCGCACAATCTTCCCCTGGAGAAGCATTGCTGGAAAGGCTTTTCTCTCCCACAGGAGTTGGAACTGAGAAATCAATTGTGAAAAAACCTCCAGAGATATTTTTTGTTTGTTTTTGTTTATTTGTTCATTGCACAGCTGTTCAAAAGGTTTAATAAAGCTTTATAAACTTTGATCTGTGGACTAGCGCCAGTCATGATGCATTCACTGTTGCTGGACTCTTTGGACTTTCAGCCTTTTCTCTCTCCCTCAAACACATTCTGTTCCAAAGAGAAACTGCTTGCAGTCGAAGGCAAATACTAAGAGTGTAGTGGGGGGGAAACAAGAGCTTCGTTTTGAAAATCTAGACACTGACCTGTTGACCCGTCTCACAAAGTGTTCAAATTATAATATTCTGGAGTTCAGCAAGCACTGTGATGTCTCAGGCAATAATGGACAGCCTGTGCTCTTTTAGTGCTCTAATAATTAGGCTTTGTTTTTACCCTGGAGCAGTTTCAGTATTGGTTTTCCCAGACACAGAATGCTAAAGTTGCAATCTTGGCCTGGCTTACTCAAGAATAGGAGGCCCCACTGGTGTCAATGGAACTTACTTCCAAATAAGCACGCATAGTATTGCACATTTATAGATACCTGCTGAAAACAACCGTGTGTGTGTGTGTGTTGGGATTCCTGCAGGGGAAACTATGGAAATACTTGAGTTATATACTAGTTATGCCCAGTGGGAGGGACAGTCAACTTCAGTTCTTCCCCAACTTAGTAAAAGGGCATGAGGGTTGCCATTTCTGCCACTCTTCACTCTGAACTAGGGCTTCTCGCCTGTACCTCAGGATTCACTCACTTTGTCCATACTGTTGTTCAGTTTAAAAATGGAGACCTCCCACACAACCTGTGAACAAGCCCAGTGGCCAGTGTTGGGTCTGCTGATGGTTACTTCTCCCTTGAGAACTGTGGTCTTGGCAGAAGCTCCGGGAGGCCATTCTGTGCTGCTGTTGCTGAGGCTGCATTCTCAGCTGTTTGCCAGAGATGGTTTCACAAGGGTTAGGGGCGGAGGCAGTGGAGTTTATGCAATTAATTTTTGTAGATGACTATCTTGTTATAATCCCAGAATTTCAGTAGCTTTTATGTTCACCGTTTGATTGAAATCTTCTCTGGCTTTGTTAATTATGTGTGTTTCAGTTTTTCTCTATCAAGATACCTGCCTCGGTCTGACTAATTGCATGATGTATTGTGGATCCTTCTGTACTGCTGGAAGTGTTTTTATCTGGATGGCAGTGGATCCTCTATTAGTCAATGAGAAGGCTGTGCCATTTTATTTCCTGTTTGCATGAACACACTTGGAGCTTAAAACACAGTTTATATGCCTAGAATTAACAAAAATATTTATAGCCCGTGTTCCATTTTACAAAGTCTATCGGTTCACATTCCAAAATCTGCATTTTCAACAATTCTGGAATTAAATACACTTCCAGCACACCTTACCCCAAAGGTGCAATGCGAGAGGCATAACTTGATACTGTATTTAAGACATTTTGCAAGAACGAGGCCGGCAAGCTAGCCAGGTCTCATCAGATCTTGCCAGCTAAGCAGGGTCAGCCTTGGTTAGGATTTGGTTGGGAGACTACCAAAGAATACCAGGATAACCACATAGAGGCAGGCAATGGCAAACCACCTCTGCATGTTTCTTGCCTTGAAAACCCTGTGGGGTCACCATAAGCCGATAGTGACTTGACAGCGAGTGGAGAGGGGGTGGAAGTAAGACAGGAGAACATATATGTGGAACTGAAACGTCGTCTTTCCACTGCATTAATGTTGTTGCCGTATAGACGCACTTAACTGTGAAGGTGAAAGAAGTGTATTACTGTAGCTGTTTCACCATGTAAATGGAACACATCAAGAGCCTTCTCATGGGACTTTGATGCAGTCATGGTCTTTTTTAACTGCTGCAGTCAGGTTCACATTGCACTGGCTACGTAAAGGCCTTTGGTGTCACCAATGCAAGCATTTCACATGAAGGAATCTGACCGGAGATTGGTGCAAACTGCTAAAAATGTATTCAGAAAACATTGCTTAATCATGTACAGGTATTGTATATGAAGGTGGCAGATTTGCTTACAGAAGTGTAGATGTTAACAAAATGACTGCCTGTGAATAACTGGTCGTAGTTTAGGCAGCTATAACTATATATGCTTTACACTTTTTCATATTCACAGACGTAAACACCCTAAAAATGTAGACCCAGTTGAGAGAAAGGGCAGGTGAGAGCCTTTTGAAGCCCTTTCAAAGATAACACTAGCATCAAGAAATATTTGCTTGTATGGTCGGAAGGGTCCATATCACTCACCTTCAATGCTAACAAACACAAATATGAAATTTATAAACTGATTTCTGCCTGTGCATAAGGAAAGGGTTTTTTTACTTGGCCTGCTTAAATTAATGTTTGGGCAGCTTTCTGAATGGCTGGGTTTGTTCATCCCTTCAATTGAAGATCACACCAGAGAACATCATTCCAGACAGACGACCCTCTGACCTTCCTACAGCTGCCTGACAGCTATGTCATTCTGGAGTAATTAACGCAGAATAAAAATTCATGAACATCCAAATGCTTGGTGGGGGGGGGGAGGGAGATCTGGTTTTGGATCAGGTATAAAATTGGTTTCAGGTAAAATTGGCCAGAGGAAGGGGGTGAAGAGTGGCGTTGCCTTAATCAGAGAGGTGGTGAGGGATTTATAAAGCTCAGAGAATGAATTAGCTTACCGTTTAAGGTTTCTGTAGCAAGAAAGATAAAGGGGTGCTTTCCTTCACAAGTTAAATCTCATGAGCGTTCCTAAAAATGTGGCTGGGGAAATCCTTGTTGGGAGTATAATGCAAGGGATGTTCCCAAATGTAGGATAGTGGGGTGGTGCCTGACGTGCCATCCTCCCTCCCCTTCCCTCTCCAGCTTTTCATCAGGCTTGTCACTTTTACTTTGTGTTGGGAAACACTCCGGTTGACACGCAGAAGTTTGCCTGCTGAGCCAATTACACTGACAAGCTAATGTGCCTTTTGACTCTGCCTCCAGAAGACTCCCGTGGGGCGGCAGAATGGAAAGCAGCAATGCTGACTTGCAGCCAAAGCAAATCAGATGCTGCAAGCAAGAATGAGCAAAAGCTTTGACTCTGGCACAGGGGGAAATGAACTCTCTCGCCTCGCCTCCCTGGCTCTCCTGATCCAGTTCCCTCCAACTAATTGCCAAACTAGGGCTCTACCCTGTCCCACCCCTTGCTGGGTATTACTGTAGCACAGCAGCTGTGCTTCAGGATTGCCTTGTGCACGCAGGAAAATGTAATTGTGAAAAATTGCTATAGGGCAACAATAGAACTCCGTCTCATGATTTGTGGATGCTCCCTAGATGTGATGGGGGGGGGGAATCACTGTATATTGTGATGGCCCTGCTTTCTGTGGATCAGACTGCCCTGTATGGCAAAAGGAACAGTAATATGTCTGAACAGTTCTAGATAGCTACAGGCCTCCCTGCGTGCTGTGCTTATGGATTTGTAAACAAAGCACAAACAGCTGAAACGCCTAAGTCTCCAGTGCTCACAGCCTTCAAAGGGATCCAACCCAGGTAAGCGCTAGCCTGAGAACATCTCACTGTTCAGGTAAGCGGGGAGCTTTCACTCGCTTTTTCTACACAGGTGGACACCAAAGGCTTCTAAGGACATACAATCCATATAGCTCCCGTTCACATTCTAAGAGGGGAGGGGCCTTTTTCGTAGAAAATGAAACTTGTGAGAACTACTGTGCCTTCCCCCACCCCTACTGTCCTCACTCTGCTGCTAGGAGCATTTTCGTTTCCCCCAGTCCAGCGCCAATATCAGAATGGAACTGAGCTGGAAGAAAAATGCTCCAAGCTTAAAAGAGCAGACTGGGGAAAGGGAAGGGGTAGCTGTCCTCACCCGCATGTTTCATCGTCGCTCGAGTAGACAAACAGCTACCCCGCACACACATGCTTCCACGTGTGAACAGGGGGACTTGTGGATCAATTCTTATGGATTTCCCTCTCTGATGGTGGTCTGGTTAGTTCTAAGTTACAAATCATCAATGAAGCCCACTAAAATCAGCCCCAAGATAACGAGCCAGGTCAAAAGAAGTGTAAAGTGGGTGTTCTGCACCTAAGGCAGCTTCAGATCCCATTCTCCAAACAGCAGCCCTCTGGGGCCTCAGGCAGGGGGTGTGGGAGCCCGCTGGTCTCACAAGCTGCTTTCAAACCAGTTCGAGCACAGGTGACCTGGGGCAAAGAGGGGCCGCCGCCGCCGCTGGACAAAATCAAACCAAAACCCGCTTGGGTTTATGCTCCTAGCTGAACAGGAAGCCAGCCAGTGTGGGAGTCAGCCTTAAAAAGAATCTAGGCTAGCAGAAGGCCTTTATGGAATGCTAAACACCACTTTGGATCCAAGCCCGCATTTCCACTGATTCATGCTGCCTGGTATGGGTTGAGGGGAGCCCTGCAAGATCCAAATCTTTACAAGTCCCTTTCATCCCTTGTCCTGGCTTCTGCACACTCAACCTGGCACGCTCAGCCTCCCCCCCCCCCACCGTGAAATCTGAAGCAGTGCCTTTTTCCTTACCCCTCCTTGCCTGCTACAGTGCTAATTATATATGTCTCTTCAGGTTTAGACTGCGAAGCTGATGAGCACTTTGGAAAGAAGAGGCATCGAACCTTAGCAAGAATGCCAGCATTTATTTATTTGCAACATTTATGTATCACATTTTTAAGTCACGGAGGTTTGAGAAGCAGAATAGAGCACTTCACAGTAAAGACCCACAGTGAGCACAAATCAGGACAAGAACATCTCCCCACACCCCTCAGCGAAAGTAACATAGGAGTAGAAGGCACTGCTACTACGGGTGGTTTCAAAAGAAATGGGTGTGGCCACAGCATCTGATTGTTTTGATGCACAACCTGTACTCTGTCAAGAGGCCACAGTTAGGACAGAATATGGAGAAACAAAATGGTTTCCAGTTGGCAAAGGGGTCAGAGACAGATGAATTTTATCTCCCTGTCTTTTCGATCTATATGCAAAACATATCATAAGGATAACTGGATTAGATTTAGATGAAAGTGGAGTGGAAATTGGTGGGAGGAAAATTAACTATTTAAGATATGCAGATGAC